CATGTCGTGGAAAGACGGCAAATTGGGCTCAGACATGGGCGATGATCCGAAGGAGTGCAGGCCAGTCAGTCACTCACGCCGACTTGAAAGTGCCTTTCTGTTTTTGCGCCTTGCTTCGGCCGTCATGCAGGTCATGCCGGCTTGTCATGTCTCGATTCTTTCCTCCACCACCAAGACAAGTCGCGGCTTCTGCCGAACCTCTAAGAACCGGCAAAGCGATGATGAAATTTAGTCGCACAAACACTGCAAGATGCCCCGGCCGGAGGAGAATATTGAGAGGGGGATGCGATATCACGTTTCTTTGCGAGCAGATGGAGAGAGGATCTGGCCTCAGCCGTCTTATCACCCCCCTCCTTCCAAGATTCTGCAGGTGAGTGATCCTCCGAGCCCCCCCCCCCCCCATGTTTGCTCATTGTTTGTCTTTCCTTGATCGTGTGAGATACCCGAGACGCCGCTGCCGCCGTTCGGATCGAGAAAGTCACCCGTGGGGAGCAGCATTGGCAGCAGGTGTGTTGGTCGTCATCGGCGCCCTGGCCCTTGACAACGACTCTCGTGTGGTTGACGGTATCCGTAAAATAAGGCCGTGGGGAGACGGACGGGAAGGGGAAGCGAAAGCTCGCACTCGGAGAGCAGTTTCTGGCTTAGTGCCATCGTCCGACCCCGGTCACCGAGTCGATCCTCCGCTCGGCAGGCAGTGCCCATCCGTATCTTGGGATGTTTGCGGGGTGGGGGGAGGGAAGGGGGATTGAATCACGTCTCTGCCCCGTTCCTGGTTCACCACCTCAGTGTCTCTTTCCTCCTCCACTCCGGGTTTGTCTTTTGTCGGAAGTTCAGATTGGTCCAGGGAAACTGGGGGAGGGGTTATGACAGGGTGTTCGAACCTGTTGTTGGATATGCTGACTGATTGCGAGGTAAGGATTATTTGATTCTCTGCCGCACGGCGGCACGGGAGGACGGCGGCTTGGTGTTCCCCGATCTGTCCAGCTTTTCCGATTCAATTATTGATTACTGACCAAAAGTGACGGGGTCCCAAGTTTGCGTCAAGAAGAGGATGATATATTTCCCTGCTCGATTAGGAAGGGGAAGAGAGCAACCAACACAAAGGCAAATCACGCCATGGCGACGGTAAAATTGCTGCCACTACCCGTGTCACCAGCATCTCGTCACAGATGGCCGCACCGGATGGCCTCGGTTGAGTTTGGCCCGACCTGGTTGGATCCCGGTAGTCATTCCCAAAATACCACAATGCTTTTCAATATAAAGACTTGGGTGTCTGGGCTCATGGTACATCACATTTGGCACATCATGAGAACTTTGGAAGATGAACTGTCTATACTCTGAACGAATCATTATCTGCAGTACAAACTCCAAAAGAATAAAAGACCAACTGACAGTCCAACGGCATACGCGACGAGAGGATAACGGCATAGGAACAAGAAAATAGACAAGTTATATGCCAAGTTGAAAACCCAAGTCAAGCAACCAAGCCAATCCCCTTGTCCGCTCGTCATCATGTCTGCCTGCCCAATGTTGCTTTAATGTAGAATAGTTTCAAAGAAGAACCCCGTCTGCGCGATCTGCCTGCAAAGAGGTCGGTGGGATGGGTTTAGGTAGGTGTGGGTTTCCCCGAGACATTACTCCGGTCATCCCGATCCAATATGCACAACATACGCCGCCCTATGCTGATATAGAAGACGTGCGCACATCTATACACACACATCCCACGCACGCACAAAGTTTCGCGCCTCTATAAGAGGGCGTAGATGCCTTCTCCGTTTTCCGTCTAGATCCCATACTCCGTGTCGCATAACACAGACCGACTCTATGACCAGACATCCTCCTGAGGTATTTGTTAGCATTGGTCACGAAGCTGTTGTGAGAATATAGAATCCGGCGTACCTGGTATTGGTTGGCTGCTCTCATGTTCTTGACAATCTCCTCGGCCTTGGCCTCAGAGATGCCACGCTGCTCCGCCAGAATCTGGCCCAGAACGGTGTTGACCTCACGAGCCATGTTGGCGGCGTCACCACAGACGTAGAAGTAGGCCTTCTTCTCGAGAAGCTCGTTGATCTCCTTGGAGCGCTCCTTGAGACGGTGCTGAACGTAAACCTTCTTGGGGCCCTCGCGGGAGAAAGCGGTGATGAGCTCGAACTTGTCGCCGAGATCCTTCTTGTATTGCTATTACAATGGTTAGCCTCGCGTCATGGAAAGTGCAAAAGCTTGCTTGTGAAGTTTGCTTACCTCCCACTCATCCTTGTACAAAAAGTCCTCGGTCGACTTGCGGCATCCGAAGAAGAGAATCGTCTGACCAACATCGGCGCCATCGCGAGCCAACTTGGCTCTCTCCTGAATGAAACCGCGGAAGGGGGCAGCACCGGTACCGGGACCAATGCAGATGACGGGCTTGGAGGGATCGGAAGGCAGCTTGAAGTTGGAATGGCGGACGTGGACGGGCACGTGGATACCGTCGTACTTGTTTCTGGGGCCAGTAATCTCGTAGGTCAGTCCAAAGGCGGTAGGCTCGGGGTCGTTGTTCTGCTTCTGCTTCAGAGCGAGGAGATAGTTCGTAGCGACACCACGGAACGGATCGCCGCGGCCAGGGATCGTCTGGTTCTCGACCACGGCGGTAATGGAGATCTTCTTGGGCTGGACCAGGGACGAGGAGGAGATGGAGTAGTAACGGGGCTGGAGCTTGGTGAGGCCTTCAATCCACGCGGAGAAGGGGATGTTGGTCCACTTTTGACCGCCGCTGACAGAGTCCAAGAACCGAACAATGTTGTAGAAGTGAGCACCAGTCTTCTCGTGGAAGAGCTCCTTGTCGCCTCCGAGCTTGACCATCTCGGCCTTGATGTCTTCGCTGGGAGCGAAGGCGGCGAGGGTGGAAATGAACTGGCGGGAAACGGGGGCGCAGATCTCGAGGTGGTAGCGAACAATGGCATCGTAGGTGGTGGGCGTGGGGAAGGGGACCTTGGCGGTAGGCTCGAGGGCCTTGACGCTGACGACCGAGTGTCTCTGCTCAGTAAGTCCGACAAGGTCAAGGAAGCGGTCAACCTCTTCACCGGGGTTCGTGGGCCAGATGGCAATGTGGTCGCCGGTCTGGTAGGACAAGTTGGATCCGCTGATGTCGACTTCGAGGTGCAGGCAGTTTCTGTCCTTGACGCTGAAGAGCTCCTTGGACTCGGCAATGGGGGCGATGTAGGGGTTGTGGGCGTTGAAGGGACCCTTGGCGGTACCCTCAAGATGCATCTTGTTCGGCTCTCCGACGTAGACCTCGGCGGACGAAGCGTCGAGACCCTCGCGTTCGAGAATGCTGAAGGTGGGCTCGTAGACAGCCTCGCGCTCCTCCAGACCCATCTTCTCGGCGAGAGCAGCCCACATGGGGTCCTTCCAGGCCAGGAAATCCTCTTCCATGGTACCGGCGCCATCGTCACCCTCGCCAGCCTCGCCGATCTTGTGTGCGCCGAGCTTCACGAGAGCCTTTGTGACGTTGCGAACCATGGAATTGTAGTGCTCGTAGGTGTTGTTACCGAGACCGAAGGCGACAAAGTTGAGGTTGTCCAAGGCGGGGTCGTTGCCCTCGGAGAAGGAGACGTCCTCGCCGGTGATGAATTCGTAGAAATCGACGGCGTTATCGGTGGGCTCGCCCTCACCGTAGGTAGCGAGAACGAACATGACGACCTTGTCGCTAGGGATGGAATCGAGGTTATCGTAGTCGTAGTCCTCCAAGTCGGCGACCATGGTCTCGAGACCGAAGCGGCTCTTGCCTTCCTTTGCGAGTCTCGAGGCGTAGTCCTCGGCGGTACCAGTCTGGGATCCATAGAAGACGATGCAGTTCTTTCCCGACTCATCCATCTTCTCGATGATGTTTCTTGTCTTGCCGGCCTTGGCGCCATTGGCGTTGGCAAAGGCGTTGGCATAGGGGTCCTTGACTACTCCCCAGTATTTGCCCTTTGTGAAGTAGGCGGCCGTACCCAAGAGGATGACGGCCAGGACGACGATGTCCAGCGTGTCGAGTTCCGCCATGTTGGGCCGTCGGACTCAACTGGACTGCTCGGAAGGGTTGCGGCTCGGAAGCACTGACAATTCCGAGGTGATGCGCGACAGCGAGAGGTGTTTGTGTTGCAGTAGGGAGGTTTGGCGGGGTTGCTGCAAGGAGGTAAAAAAAAGTCGCAAGCGAGCGATGAAGATGAAGAATCACCGACCCAGAAATGCGGGTGGGATTGCCGAGTTGACAGCCGTGAATAGGCGACTATTTAGGGGGGGATCTAACAGCCGCGGGAAGTGGCGGTTGTTGGAGGAAGTTGGAGAAATTCAAGCCTCGTGAGGTAAGGTGAGGTAAGGTACGGAGCGGAATACTGCAATCGTGTTCACATGAGATCAGCGGGGGTGATTCGACAATTGGCCGGGAGGAAGAGATGGTGGATTGCGGTGGTGGAGGAGGAGGAGGAAGATGTGGGTAAAACCAGAAGGGAAGTCTGGTCAGACCGTCAGACCCAGGATTTAGCCCGTCGGTCGGGGAGAGTGGAAACAGTGTGATGCCGAGTTTCGGACACGCACCAGTGCCAGCAGTTCCGGCGCCGCCAATGACGGCCTGACTTGACCTTGCACTGTACACTACTTATACACAGTATGTGGTATCCAGTCGCAGCGCAACCGTTTTGGTAGTGTAGTGTACGTAGTACAGCGTGGGACCAAAGGCTGACACCTAGGTAGGTAGACCAAAGCACTGGGATGGGGTGACGGGGGTTTAGGGTCCACGGGCAAAGGAGAAGAATACTTGGGCTTACCGGTCTGTGCAAAGGACGCCGAGACCCCCCAGCTGGGAAAGGCACGGGCGGAAGCACACAGGCAAAGTTGAGCTTGGGAAGACTGAATGGTGGGAGAGCGCGGGAGGAAGAATAAGTGAGGTGTGAGAGTGTCGGGGAGTATTGTGTCGACTGCGGTACGGAGTAGAGGAAAGAGAAAGGATAGTGAATAGTAAGCGGATTCGGGACGAACAGTCAGCGGGAAGAAATAGGAACGGCGGAGGCTGGAGGAATTTGAGAAGAAGGACTTAGAAGGAGGGAGTGAGAATAAGAGTAAGAGTAAGGGTCGGAGAGGGCAAGGTCAAGAGAAAGTAAAAAGAGACGACGGGGTTTGTTGGTGCGCTGCAGAAGTCTCTGGTCTCGTTCGACGGGAGTTGATGAGGACACTGGGACAAGCAAGCAGGCCGGGGCGGGTAGGCCGCATGGAGCACACGAGGAAACGGACGGAACTTTGGATCGGAAGTGCGATAAGGGACCGGCGGGCATGTTGCATTCAACGGCATGGCTCGGGGATGGTCATGGCTAGTGGACACTGCGCTGGGCTGACTTGGTCTTCTTCCTTGCTAACAACCGCCTAATGGAGTACCTTACCTTGGGGAACAATGTTACTGTGTAATAATGTCATGTACGAATATTCGTAATGAGGCAAGGCAAGGCAAGGCAAGGCAGGGTAAGGAAGGCAAGGAAAGGTTCGGATACTTGGATGCATTCCGCGCCTCAGAGCCTGGAGAGAGAAGCATGGAAAGCCCGAGGCAATCTGGAAGGAACTTACGGCAGTAAGGGCTCTCCACCTTCTAGTCGGGTCGGTTTTGGCAAGCTCTGGTTCCAGGATTTGGCAGGGCCGTTCCGAGTCGAAAGCGAGCTGGCCTTCCTTCCATTCTCTGTCCCACTCTCAGCGCAGCGGAAAGCCATTGCTCAATTTCCTCCCGTATGGACGGAGTAGGTACCTTCCATATGTGCCTTCCTCTGTGCAAGGGAAATTCCTCTACGTACTGCTGTACCTTGGTAGCTTCCATAAGGTAAGGCACCTACCTTAGTGAGTGTCCCTACCGCACCGCTTCGGCGCGGACTGTCAGCCTTTTCTTCCTTCCTCTTCCATAATTCTTGGTAGTCCGCCCCAAGACTGAGAACGAGGAAACCACGGGTCAATTCCTGGGCAGGTAATAGTCCGCACCTTCCACCGTTCTCTCTACACAGTACCTACCCCGTGCCTTCTGCGTGGTGTTAGGTTCTTGCCGCTGCCATGTACCGTCCCCCCGCCAAACATTCGATACGTCCACGCCAGACGCACGGTCTTCTCGGTTATATGCTTAGTCATTCTGGAGTAAACCACTCAGAATGGAGAAGACGGACTTGGAGCTTCGACCAGCGGATCCCGAGGGGTCGGTGCCGAGATATCTCCACGCCTGGGTCCCACCGCGGAAACTTTATGATTTACCTTCCACTCACTGCTTCCACCTTATTGACGGTCACGGCAGTCTTTTTTGCATGGTACGGCAATCGTAGACTGGAAACCGGCAGAAGTTTACCATCGAACAAGCAACTCTCTTTTGCTGCCAGCCACACCACATGGCCGTAAGCTCTCACAACCATACACTCTCACAGCGTCTATGGTAAAGAACAGACCGCTGTTCTCTACAGACTACAAGCTTCTGAAAGGTGGTCTGATGAGGCGTCGACGGACCGCTCCTACGTCCATAATAAGAATCCAGGAATCAGGACAGCTCGCTAACACTCCAGGTAGGTAGTGGACTATCCTACTCGTACGGAGTACATCCCACCCTGCGGTATGCCAACAAGGGGACGGTGCGTCTGACTCGGGTGGTTCGTTGAATCATTCATCGTTGATGACACCGCAGTAGCAGTCCCGTTCTCCCATTCTCTTTCTCCGCTTCTACACCATTCGATTGGGTTGGCACACGAGTGACGACGGTAGCCCACATGGTCACTGCCACAAGCCTAAGCTGGCGCAGGGAAACCCCGCGAGACCGATAACGAGCCCAGCCCACACTTCATGCCGCCTCGCCACGGCACCACGGCAGTTGTTGTATCATGTCCTCCAAGCCTCCAACAGTTAACGACTCCAACAGGCAACGACTTTACTCTAGGTGCTGCGGTCAGTTCTGGCACGAGGATACCCAAGTGGTCATCTACTGCGTACGAAACTACGAGTACGCCTTTTCTGTACTACGATCTACTGCATACGGATGTAGTATGGATGCGGACGGCTCCTTGGCATCTGTAGTGTACTCGACACAGTACTCTGCATCACCTGTCTCAGTCCTTACACCGTTGACCTCTCCCATCAGTCTACATACATGAATTGCCTTTAACGCTGGCCCATTCCGCGGCTGCCCGGTGCCTCGGGTTCCGTCGCAAGGAACTGACGCAGTCCATCTCAGGCCACGTCTTCATCAATGACAGCCACATTTGTTTCGGCCGAAGCCTCCGACGACCCAAGCTTCTGCTTAATGACACGGCGACTCGGCCTAACAATCTCAGATCACTCCGAGCGGCGCCAGGGCGCAGCGGTGATCCACGCGGGCCGTACCTCGATGCTTCTCGAACACGTTTTCTCCAAAGCCTTCATCTCGGGAGTCGACGTATTGTGTTCGCGTAGGTATGATGATCATCAACGGCGAGGCGTTTTACTGTCAACTGGGATACCTATCGGACTGGTAGAGAATCCAAAACCGAACACGAATACGCGGAATCTGTGTGCCTCAATAGGCCCGCTGTCTCAACCACCCACCACCCCAACTCTCCCGGCCGTCCCTGTCTGCACACTGTCCGTGGAGTGGAGCCCAACAGTCGACGGCATCACGGTGCGCCGGGCCCGTCCCAAAGTCCGCTGCTTCCATGATGCCGGCCGGCGATAACATGAAGGAGAGAGAGATCGCCACTGTCTGCCTCAGCTTAGGTAGCCCTCTAGCCAGGGTGGTGAGCCACGCCGTCACTGCCGTAGTGAGACCGGATCAGCATCCGAAACAATCACCGGACCTCTTTGCTAGCGATCCAGCAAAGGCACCGGGCCTAGATTACGGGACAGCTGGCCTCTCCGGGCGGTTTGGAGGGTTTCACCGCAGCTTCGGTCTCGGACCTTCACGCCAGTCCTGGCTCTCCACCACCGGCGGATACCCACTCTGATCCTACCTGGGCCGCTTCTTTGTCTGCAGGCGGCGTTCCACCCCCACGCCCGTGTTTGCTGATGAAAATAGAAGTGAAATAAGGCTTTCAAGCGATTAGCATCATCAAATTGTGGCCAGAGCCAATGTCCTAGCGTTCGAGTGGTACTCGCGAGAATGGCAAGCGGTGCAGATTCAACCGAATAATGAGCCAACTTTGCCTCCTTAAAAGGGAGTCAGTCTCTGCGAACGACTTTGGACTGGCAGTACCATTGATTTCTTCGCCATGGCTCGTTTCTCGTACAAGCGTGGCAGAGTTGGAACCCTCGACAAGTTGTCTTTCAGTCACCTGTTCTCACCGCGAGTGCCGAGCATTACCGTCCATTTTTTTTCTTTTCTCACCTTCACCATGACCTCACCTTGGCAAGCCAGGCTGGGGCACCTGGCGTTGGTGATTAAACCCACGTATTGAATGCGATGCCATCACGCGGTCAGGGCCGACAGGGTCAACGGCGTCCTCGATGCCATTCATTTTCGTCAAATGGTCAGGAATGGTCAGGGATGGTCAGGAAAACCTATTACAGACGCTCTCGACCACTGGCTGCTTGCAGAAAAATACAAGACGCCATTGCGACGGTTGCGAGATATGACAGCGTTAAGTCGAGAACTGCCGATCGACGGCATTCGATGCTGGCTCATTTGAAGCGTGAACTGGGATTGATGTATTCGGATATTTCCAGGCCACACGTGCAGCGGACAATACCAGCGGCAACCATCCTGCATGTGCCGCAGCCTGCGGGCATCAGCATCGGGAAGCGAAATGGTTCTCGGGCAGCAAGTCTCGCCCATTCTAACTTCAGTTGCTGCCCGTTGGTCGTCAACACATTTCCACGGTAACATATTATGTATGGATATTTGGGCCGCCTGGCGTCGACGTGACACATCGTCCGTTTCTTTTGGTCGGCCAACGGAGTCAGAGAATGCCATCGGGGGCCGCACGGCAGCCCGCTGTTGCGTCTGCATGAGCATGAATATGACCGGATCAAACCCCAAGGAAGTCTGCACGTTCAAAGACGATGCGACGTTTTGCTAGGCGACAGACTGTGCTCATATTTGCGGACTGCTTTACAGGTTCACACGGACTTGACATACTAATCATTTATCTCAGGAATCAGGAGCAGCTGAAGATTAAGAGACCAGATTGTGATGCACGAACGGAGCTCTGGGTTTAACAAAGACTGTCGATTCTTATTCTACAAAGTGCGAGCCAACCTCCTGATACTGCTCGGCCTCGTGGGCATGGCAATATTAAGAGTGTTCAGCTGGATGGGACCGTGACAATCAATGCCCGCCTACCCGCATTCCCGCCGCCGCCGCCGCCTGCCTCACAGATTCACAGCTCGGCCAATGTTTCCGTCCCTGGGCCATTCCCAGCAAGCTTGAGCGCATCCAGGGGTTCAAGAGGAGTCGTCCGTTATTCAGCCCTCGAGTCGAGGCTTGGCCTTCCCCGTCTCAGGGACCCTTCAGCCTATCGTGCCTGTGTGCCTGGGACCTTTCAGCTATCGGACGGTGGACCAAGCAATGCTTCCCTTGGGTGCCCCTCGTCGTCGAGTGGTTTGTGGGAGAAGCTGATTGGGCGTGGCCCTTGCATAGATGCCCCCCTTGTCGCGTGGCCAGTGCTATGGAGAAAATTTGTGACGGACTGGCGATTTGGCCTGGCAGCGAAGGTTTCTGGGCTAAAGAAGCCACATCTCGGGTCACTTTGCTAGTGTCTGACAAGAAGATGGTGATTGGCGCCGACAGTTGGACTACGACGAAGACGGTGATGTGCCAGTGGGCGAATCAAGCGAGGCACTATGGATGCGCATCTGAGAGATGAACATCGACATCATCAATGGCCTACCTATCCACGAATACAGGGTACAGCCGAGCAAGAGGGCCACGAGGGCCTTGCAGGTTCAGGTTCAGGTTCAGGAACTGGCAGGGAGATGCCGAATGAGAGGTGCAGGTCTCAATTTGAAGAGGGACTCGAGAAGCCATTTGTGATCTCATAGCTCACGGTGCCTTGGGCAGCGGATGGCTCAGGATCAGGGGAAGGAGGGGAAAGGCATGACATGGACCGGCACGAGACCCTGTTGACTTTCTTTTCTTCTGCTGGTCCTGTGAGACTTGGGACTTGGAGAGAGAGGAGAGACAGGCGGGAGCAAGACAAGGCATTTGATGGCTTGTTGGATTGGTGAAGTTGCATCGGGTAGGTAAGACTTCGTCGTGGTCATGGCTGACGAGCATGAGAAAGAAAACATCATGACCTCAGAGGCTCTGAGAAGCGACAATACATAGTACATAGCTTACGCAGTACTCCGTACTCCGTACCCAAAAAGTAGTGGGACGGTACCTACGGAGTTCGGATGTGTGGGCGCTGTGTGTAATTGCGGCGAGCAAGGCACCCAGGCACTACCTTGCCTTATGCTTCTTTTCGCAACCCCTGGGCCCCTGGCCCCTGGCCCGTAGTTATGCACAAGTACGGGAGCATGGTAAGGAATGGTACGGTAGGTATTCGGTGGTTTCCAACGGCCAATGGCGCCCTTTTCTTCTTCTTTTGCTTCTTCTGCTTCTTTTCTGGGTTGGTCTGGCGGGTTTATAGGCTCGGTGGCAGCAACCCAATGCAGCCATGGACTCGTAGTCAAGCCATACAAACCCCAGCAGAAGAAAAGGGCTGTGTTGAACGTGGTATCCAGTGGCCAATGGGTCAGAATGCCATGTTCGTATGAGGAGGAGTTCTGGAAGAGAGGAAATGGAAGAGAGAGAGAGAGAGAGAGAGAGAGAGAGAGGTTGGTGCTTCAAGCTTGCAGCTTGGTACCAGGTTTCGATTGGGGTCGATTCCCACTTGGTTGGTATTAACTGGCACTGACTGGGCAGACTGGCTAGTAGATTGATTGATTGATTGACTGGATGGGCATGTCCGACTTTCTCTTCTTGGGTTGCTTTATTGAACAAGATTATATTGGATTTGAATTGGGATTAGGATTGGAACAGGCTGGTCCTTTTGCCTTGTCTTGCTGCTCGGCCTCCTTTCCCAATTACCTACCATCCCCCCCCAAAAGGGCCCCAAAGAGCCCTGCCTTCCCCAATCATCATGATGAACGTGCTCTTTCATCATTCATTACCCACCGGTTTGAACTTGCCAGCACCATCATCATCAAAATACTCCGTATACCCGACCTTCCTAGTATACGGAGTAACCCCCAATCCTAATCCAATTGCCGTCTGTCCTATTCTGCCATTCTGGTCCGATTTCAATTTGATCCGATCCTTTTTGTCTTCTTCCGCTGCCACGTTTATTTGATATTCTTCATCCGTCATTCCTTCATCATCCACGCCACCCACCAACTCACCACCACCCGATTCCGTCCATCTTCGATACTTTGTGGCGGCCACCAGCGACGGTGCACAAACCTTCGAATGCCGTAAGACCCCGGATCATGGGACTCGATCCGTCGCAACAATGGGTGAGTTTACAACTTTTTCCAATTGGGAATGCTCGCTATTATATCTATATTCTTTCCTTGGTCCTTTCCCCCCTTCCCATCCCCCCCGCATAGCTGCGTCAAGTAAAGCCTTCATCCACATCACAACCGAAGCCAAGCATCTCGAGCTCTGAGCCTTGCTTGTTTGCATTGCTTGCATTGCTCCCCGGAGTTCCATCCCACCTGTCCCTCCCTAGCCTTTCACCCCTCGCTTGGCCCTCTATTTTGCCTTTGGTCTCATGCCATTGACGGATGCTCGCTCGCCGACGAACGCGCTTCCCTCGTCTTCACTTTTCGTCTCGTTTCGTCCCGTCTCTATCTCTCCCTGGCCCGCCATGAGGTGAATAGGCAAGGTTACGGATGAGCTTAGTCTGGCCTGACCTTTTTTCTCGCCTCGTCTTCGTCTTTCTCGGCCCTCCTCCGACGGCTATCAAGGGTTGCTCATCGTCCCGTGCTACACCACCACCACCACCACCACCACCAACGCTACCTATCACGTCCACCGGCAACACCACCTTACCTTATTAGCAAACCACACGCGCGCTACCCATCCGCTACACACAAAGCCAGCTCGCACGCAACACACAGACATTGGGTCCGTAAACCCCCAGCCTCGCGCGGCTTCCCTCTGTGCGCTCTGCTCCCACCCAGGCCCAACTCGAATCAGGTCGACGACCCTGTGAACTGTGGTGCGGCTCTCCTGGCTTCCGCTGGCCGTTGGCGTTAGGTTGCTTGTGCGGCTTTGCCCTGCGTTGCTCTTCGACCCTTGGGTTTTTAGCGTTGCGCCCTCCCTACCTAATCGCGGTCCCCAATCGTCCCTCTCCTGTCCCAAAGTGTACTCTCTTCATCGCATCTATTCTCCTGGTCTGCACTTGGCTCCCCGTGTGTGCTAGACCACACATCTGTGCACCTTCAAAACGTCCAACGCATACAAACCTCCACCCCGTCTGCGTCCCTACGCGCAGTCTGCCGTTTCACAAGAGAGGGGAAGGCCTGTCACTAACCATAAGACGTCGTCTCGTCTAGCTCCGTCCCAGGCGACGCTGCCCGATCTTTTACAGGACCCGCCATTAAAGTTCTCTCCGCGATCCGTCACCACCCTCGACGAAGAAGACGAGGACGACGCCGATTGGGACCGAACCCTGCGACCCGCCGCCCTCGAACCCCATCCTCATCCTCCGCTGCCTCGCTCCGTCACCCATTCCCGCGATTCCTCCTACGAAAAGCTCTCCTCACATCCGCTCCCTCCGATCTCCGGCTCCAACATCTCCCCTCGAACACATACCCACGCCCACGCTCACGCTCAGTCTCGAACAGCAGCAGGAGGAGGAGGCCCCGGAGGCGTTATCGAACGACTCATTGATCCCAAGAGCGCATCATACGGTCACCATCGTCAGACCTCCATAGTTCACGGCATTCAACACTCTAGAAATGGAAGTCACGCCAGCTCGTCTTCGAGTCCTCTCAGCCCGCAGATAATTGCTGCTGCCGGCGCGGGTCTCACCCCAGAACGTCCTGATATGCACGCCGTTGGCCGTCTAGACCCGGACGCGCCTCCGGGGTTGCGCCCAGGTACCGCCATGTCTGGCACCACCGTCAACTCCGGGCCCATTGTCCCCGAAAGAACATCTTCAGCTACCGACTTTTCCAATTCCTCCGTCGCGCAGAGAAAGGTGGAACGAATGCATAGCAAGACGAGGCGCGAACACGCACACCACCACTCCCATTCTTCCAAGCACCACAGGGATGAGCAAAAGACTGTCGGAGAATACGCTTTGCATGTGCTCTTCACATCTGTAAGTTGTGAAGACCGCTTCCATCTCGCGCGGCAGAAGTGGAAAAAGAAACAAAGACATATAATAATCCGTTTTCTAGTTTATCGCGCAAGCCGAGGAGAAACTCAATGACTGCATCACAGTTCCCTTTGAGCCCGAGCCGCAGGTCGAGCAGATCTGCGGCCCGGGGGTCGACCCATCCTTCGACCAGATTATTACCGCCTTGGGCCACATTGCCAGGCCGCGACCGAAACCCCTGATAGATTCCATGATGCTGTGGAGGAAGAGCAAAAGCGACGCGGCCAACGAAGCCCGAAGTCAGTTGCAGCAATCAAGGGGCGCGGCACCAGGTCCCCTCCAACGCCGGAACACCGAGCCTCTGCAGCCTCTGCCCGGGGCCATGGACAATGGTCTGACCAGCCCGCAGACTTCATTGGCCGCTAAACAAGAATTTGTGGCACACGCCGAGCGTCGTTCTACCGTTTCCATCTATATACTCTGCCGGGTGCTTCTGGAGGTCATTAGTCAAACGAGTCTTCCTTTCTTGACTCTCGAGATGGAGGAGAAGCTGGAGGGCATCATCTTTGGCCAGCTAAAGATTGCCGACACAGACCAGCTCATGGTCAGCCCGCTGAAACTTGCCAATTGGAATCTCTTTTCGCAGCTCCTTGGCGTCATGAGCGACATCAACTTCAGGGGCGTCACGGAAAGGTTCCTTGGAGACCTTGAACGATCCCTCCAGGAATTGGTCGCCAAAAGTCCCACATCACCAGCAGGTCGCGATGCTGAGGGCAAGATTGAGCTAGTCCTAGGCGGGATGAAGCATCTCAAGGTCAACATGTCACACCCGGAGGCCTGGGAACACTCGTGCGACTTCATGGTAGCCGTCGGGCGCCTGTTCCACCGCTCTCACGGCCAGCGAGTGAAAACAGCCTTTTGCCAGGTGCTTGAGACGCTTTTGCTCACTGTAGCCGCCAAAGCAACAAATCAAGACCTCGCGCACCCCAAATGGATCGAGGTTCTCGGTGCAATCGGTCCCCGCCTGGCTCAGATGTTCATCAAGCCTCGGCACTGGGGGTTCGCCTTTCCTCTGACAGCAACGCTGCTCTGCGTTTCTCCTCCCGACACATTTGGATCTCAA